ATCCATCTCCCCCGACCATGAGATGCATATGACTGCGCACACCGCCCTGTGATCCGCCTGCATTCTGCATCATTGCATGTGGCTATGTGAGTCTGACGAGGGACCTAGGGACTTGAATTGGACTGGGCTCGGATGTTTTCTTGATGTGTAATTCTTGATATAAAACTCTTAAATACATTGTGTGTGTGAGTGTCAGTGGATTTGTTTCTCTAGTCAGCCCAGTCTAACCCAGCTTGCTTCCAGGGTGTCCTTTTTGTTGAAAAGCATGTGCATTGGGGCGGCCTATGGACAAGAGAGAAGATAGTCTTTATTCTGAATGTAAATGACTAGGGTACTTAAGGAAGACAGCCACGTGCATTTTTTTACCCTAGGACCTGGGGTTCCTCCCCCTTGAGTTCCTTTCCAGAAGTGGGGGCCCTTATGGAATGCCCCCAAGGCTGTCCAATGTCGTCCAACAGTCCCTTTTGTAAATTAAGCTTAGATGGCCACTAAAAGCTCACGGGAAATTATTCTTTTTGATCATTTTATTGGGAGCTCTTGCAGATACGGTAACATTCCATAGTTTAGTCACATCAAGCCGTATTGTACTTATTACCACAATCAGTTTCAAAAAATTCTCTTCCTCCTTGACCTTAATATGCACTCCCCTTTATCTCCACCCCCACAACCCTTGTTATTGTGTATATAATATATTGGCTGTATCTTAACACTAATATATCCATTTACCTCCAGTGGGGTTATACAATTATTGCCATTAGCTCTCCCCTTCCCATACCCTCAGGAAACCGCTACTCCCCTTTTTTGAGGGTGGAGAGTGGGGGATTTTTTGCGAACTAGAAAATTCCCTGTCTCAGGAAGTATTTAACTTCATTTTTAAATGAATAAATACCTGTTTATTCATTTCTATCCTTTATGTCCTGTTTTTAGAGCTTGGGTTAGTTTATACACCCTTCTAGCGCCCTCGTCTGGTATGAAAGGTTCACAAGTGGGTTTAGGGTGGGTGAATGTCTAGCTGCAGCCGTACCTGCCCTCCGTTCTGAAGACAGGGATTAGCGAGGTGAGACCTCCCCCACAGTGCTGTAGGAGTGTACGGGTCTCACGCAAGCCTTGTCCACGCGTTCTTCTCCCGTGGCAGTAGGGCGCGAAAGGCTGAGTCACTCTGCTTCACAGAAATGTTACACGGAGCACGACAAAGCCGCAGCAGTAATCGTCTAAGATGAGTAGCCTATTCTTCATTATCAAAATTGGGACAGACTCAAGGACAGAAGCTGCCAAGGTGACTGCCACCTTGACTAGGGGCAGCTTGTTACCTCCATGGGGGCGGCAGGGAGGCAACTCTGGCTGGGAAAACCGTTGCTCTTTGGTGTTGGGATAGGAGCTCATGTGAGAGCGTCCCTCAACTCCCTGCTCTGTCTCTAGGCCACGTGGTGGCCAGACCACTTTGTTCTGGTTTTTATGGAGACTGCGTGTCTCCATCTGCACGGCTGCAACTTGTAGCCCACAAGTTCTTCCTGGGAGCACTCTGGCCGGGATGACCCAAGGACTCCTGAGGGTCTCCCAGGACCTGGGAGGTCTGAGCCCTCGAGACTGTTGTCATGGAGATCCTAAGATGCAACTTGCTTTTCGCACTCATTCTCGGCTGCGTATTGAAGGGATTCGTAGGCACTGTCTGCACACGTGTCCATTTCTGGGCCAACAACCCCTTAGCATTAATGTCACACGGTGAGGCCACATCAGCAGGGCTCAGTGAGTCTCTCAGTTGTTGACACTC